ATTGATTTTAGTTTTCCATGAACTGTTTGTGCACATTTTCTTCTCCGGCATTTGTCGCAACCCTGCCCTGTAACAACACTCCTCCTCGCCCCCTCCTCTTTGTCAGTTCCTCTTCTGTCTCCTGAACTTGGCCGCCCTTTTGGTCCTGCTGGGTTGCTTGTGAGCATTCACTTAGAGACTTGCATTGGCTGGCTGAAAGGTGACCCCTGGGGATGTGTTCAGTTCCAGGTTTGAGGGTCTTTTAGCATGGTAATCTTCTGGGTTCCTAGTCTCAGATCAGTAAGTGTGGTATCGTTTAAAACAACTTTTATTGAGATATAATTCATATACAAGAGTTGTGTAAACATTAAGCAGTTGTATCAGCTACAATCAGTTCTAGAGCATTTTCTTCCTCCTTCTATTCATTATTTGCTTCCTGTTGGCCTCCACCCTCTCCCCTTCTCCTTTGCCCCCAGTAAGCCATTATACCAGTTACTATCTCCATAGATTTGCATATCCTAGATTTCGTATACTGGAAAACAAGATAGATTAAAAATATATTAGACATATTAATGCATTAATAAATTGTATTAATTGTATTTTTTAAAAGGAAAAACCAACAGCAATATTAAAATACTGTAAAAAGCCTCCATTGAGAAAAAAGCAGGAAATAATAAAAACCAGAACAAATTTTAAATGGGTCAGAACAGGTGTCACACTTTAAGCTAATGCCATCCTTCGCAGTCGAGTTTGCAGTAGCCAGCTTATTCATACTCTATGACTGGTCAGCGGGGATTCCCAGAGGCTTCGTCCATGTAGGGACCCCTGCAAATGGACTTTGGGCCCCCACCACCACGCATGGCCCTCTGCAAACTGGGTGTTCGCAGTGTAAGCTCTGATACCATTCCCTCTCCAGCTGGTATTTCCCGTGGTTTTGAAGTTTGGTCTGATTTCTTCCTGTGCTCACTTTCAGCCCTCAGGCCTGGGCTGGCAGCCAGGGGTTCCACTCCAGAGCTCTGTGTGTCCTGCCTTTAGTCTTTGAGGTGACTGGAAAGGCAGCCCTCTCCCCAGAACTTCACTGCGCTGAACTGAGCCCCCCTCCAGGAGGCAGTAGCCTTCAGGCCTGTTTCTCACCTGTCCCCCAGCCTGCCCTCTCCCTGGTGGTGCAGTGTGTGTGTGTAGGTCAGATGCGCAGGCATCCCCCCTGAAGACAGTCAGTCACCAGACCAAGGGGCGGGCCTGCTCCCTGCTGCTGGGGACAATGAGCTAAGGCTTGGGACCATTAGCTTGGTTCCTGTAAGTGGGGTTTACACCCTACTGATAATGGTTCCTATGGAGACCCAGAGAACAGGTCAAAGTTAAGTTGCCACCGTAAATCTAGGATCTGCCCATCTTGTCACATGTATACTCCCAATCCCTCCATTTCCTATTGTGTGTATGTCCCTAGACCACCCCTTCTCACTGCTGTATAACCTATAGACAACCCCTTTCTGTGAGGTATGTCTTTACCTGTAATTAGTGGGCTTGCACGCTGCCCAAAAGGTATATAGGCGTGGGTCAGCTATAAAGCTCTCTCTCCCTGGCCTCTGTTGCTGGGCTCCTGCTGGTCGCTCCCATTTCTTTCCCCTTTCCTCTCCTGTCCTCTCTCCCTTGTTCCTCCTTCCCTTCCCCCTCTCTCCACGTGGACCACCAAGCGCGGCTGAGGTGATCAATGTTACCATGTAATGTGTCTGACTGCATTATTGTAATATCTCTCCTCTACCTCTCATGCTCTCGATGACTTTAATATAATGCTTATATATCTCAACCATACAATTGTGCTTACTGAACCCGTGGGTAGTAGTAGCGGTGG